AATGTTTTGTCTGTGAGCCCGATTCCCACCAGCCAGTCTCTGTCTTTTCTGGAGTCTACTCTTTGAACCCTAGTTCACATGAGGACTGAGGGCTGATTTCCAAACAGCAGCTGGTAATTGAACTGAAACTGTCAAGGTCTCTGATTTATAACTCTCCCTTTTATCTGCTACATACTTCCTTCTTATTTGTTTGGAGAATTTTGCTTGAAGGTCACAGCTTTCCTTTTGCCCCACCCATGGAACTTATGTAATAAGCCGAATCATGCACACAATCTCATTTCAATTGCTTACTTATTTTTTTTCGGATGTATATTTACAGAAAATGATGTATATTGTAAATGATGTCAACAGTAACTACATTTTGCTTTTTATCTGGAAGTCAAATTCCTTTTCTCTTTCCCTTTATAACCCTATTTAACAACTGTGAGTCCAACTGCGAGGTAATTTTCTTCCAATTTGACATTCACATGTCAAAAAAATCGCCTTGGGATTTGCAGGAAAGCTTTCAAACTGATTGTCTTTTAAGATCTTTCATTTGCGCTCGAAAAAATTTGTTGATCATTCACTAGAAGTTCTTTCCGAGACCAGGGCTGTCATTATATAGAAACCAGTAGGCAGCAAAACCCACCACCTCTACATTTTTAGCTCTGGCTAATTTATGAATTGTGATCAAACCAATTGAAATACGTATTTTAATTTAAACTCATTCTAACATCAAAGTCTGGCCAAAGGAAGTTCATACCAGCCAAATATATGTCCCACTCAGAATGCTAGAAATCACCACTCAGAGAGTTAAAGAATTCAATTTTTTTTTGAGAAGCTTGCCCCTGCATCCCCTTGATATGCAAGCATGATTCAAATAAAGCAACAAATCCATTCAGATTTTGCATTTATTACATTTTCTATTCACAACCCTGTCTTTCCAGATACAACATTAGCCATTTTCTTTTCACCACAAAACATCAATCTTTAGTGTGCAGCCACTTTAATTTTTGTCTGCAGACCAAAACAAAGTTGACCATGGTATGTATATCTAACAAAAAAGCTGACATGTAGACAAGTTGAAAATGAGTCTTACATGTACATGAACTGTATCAGTCTCATTACTAGGTAATATATGACAGCAGACTAACAGCCTGAAGAATTTTTAAAAAAATTATGTCCAATTGTGGACGTAAGAATGAACTGTCACCTCCTATTTTTTCTATTGGTAAAGGTCAGTAGCAAAATTTATTAACATACAAGAACAATTTATGCTTAAAATTAATCCAATTAACTCCTAAAAAGCATTAACTAACAATTTGTGTGAATACCTATCACTGAAGTAATCTTCTCACATTACTTTACCCTTTACAGATGCACTAACAAATCTCATGTTCTTTGTTTAAAGAAAGATTTTCCTTGTGCATTAAGTTCCATTTCATACAAAGCCTGCTCTGTATACAACAGCTTCTGAAGCTGGGCTCTTCTAACCTAAAACAGAATGTTTAAATATGTAAATTTAAACACTTTGAGATGATTGCAAACTGGTGAGTGATGGGTGAAGAACAGTGGCAGATCAAGACCTTGAGCTGAGGTGGATCCACCCTCATGGGCCCATTTTTGTTTCTGTGTGTTCACCTGCCAGCTTCTCTTCCCTCTGCATTTATTCTTTTCATCCAAAATAAGGAGGGGGGGCAGCCCCCCTGTGCCCCTCCCCTGGATCCGCCACTGAAGAAGATCCTGACTGAGCTATGTATAGGTGTGCATTAATTATTCAACTGCACTCAGTAGAGTTGAAATAATGTGCAGAATGAGTGCAAATGAATTAAAAAAAAAAAAAAACTGTTTGACAGGTTGACTTAATGCCTGGGTGAGCTATAAAGTAGTTGGAAAATAGATCATTGGACATTTTGGTATGTAGTCTAGCTGAGTACATTTTATTACTTTAGTATAATTTGTAACTTACAGCTGTCAATTCTTTGTTTGCTAGAGAAAGCTCTTCTTTTGTGTCAGCTGCCCACTCTTTCAGCATTCGTCCCTCACTATTCTGTGAAAAACAGCCAATAGCTCCAGATTCAATTAAGTCAAAGTCTCATGTGTACAATAACTGGCTGTATCATTATTTATAAACATCATAACAAAATGGATTTGGCATTGCAGAATGATTCATTATTTAAACAGACCCCTTTAGGATAGATGCATGGTCAGTTACCCTTTTGATTAAAATAATGATTGTTTATTACACGACTCGGGAAGTCAGAGGGCCAATAACTAAAATCAACCAATCAAAATGCTCTATTGCCGGGCAGTATTCTCTCAGTATTGGACCGGGCACTGTCCCGAATGGTCCCGAATGATACCGCACTTGTGTCCCTTTGAACTTCAGTCATGTAATAAATCTCTTATTAACCAAGCTTGCTCGGGACCGTACTGGAAGAATATCGGCCCTCAGTCTTTTTTGTATGGACCTCGCTGCGCTCGGTCCGTACTGTCAAGACCTCGGGCCGATATTCTCCCAGTACGGCCCTTACGCTTGGTTAATAAGATATATGTATTAGCAGTTGCTGTAGTACATGTGCAATATATGGTGAAAATGACCCAATGTCAGGCTTAAACTTTATATCAGTGCTCTATAATGTTTTGAAAAAAATTATCAATTTACAGTGTCGTTGCAAAAAATGACAGATAGTGCAACACTTACATGTACATGTAAGTGAAAAATCAAGTTTAGTGTTGGTAAGATGCAGTAAGATGAATAAGTAATTTGAAGCAACCCTTATTGCAGCTGAGCATTTCTCAAATCCTTTTCACCAACTTTTGTAGCAGAACATTCAACTTCAATATTCAATATGCCAATTGGCACTGACAACAGAAGGTGTCTTTGATTGCAAATATTCTGTAATGTTCTGTAATGCAAATATTCTGTAATGTTGGGTGACAGTTCAACCTTTTCATGCAATAATAATGTTTACAATTATATCTCATTTGTAGAACAACACAATTTACATCTACTGGGAACAAACACATGTACACTGATGATTTGCTGGAGAAATCACAGTACAGTTTATTTATCAAAGGAATAGTAAATGCACTGTATGTGGTTCTCTTTTACAGTATTAATTGAGACATAATTGTACCTCTTCCTGTTTTTCCATCCAGTCAGCAATCTGGTTGACTCTAATTTCACTACAAAAAGTTAAAAAAAAAAACACTGAAATGTATAGTCTGGCAAACAAAATTTTTCACAGAATTAAAATTCACCATACTTTGTATTGAAAAGTGTTCAAAATCACTTTACACAGGGAGATCTCCCCATACTCATTATGCTAGACTGAGGGATTGTGGGTGAGGGTCAACCATGAAAATATTTTTGACAACTGTGAAAAACTGTACATTGTAAATTATTGAGCCTACCAATTAGGATTATACAAAATTCTGACTTTTTTCATAACTCATGTTAACCAGGAAACAAACATCTCCTATTGATTAAAGTTATAGTTGTACCTAAATTGGTTACCTTTTCACTTTTGCTTTCTGTTCAGAGTTGAATTCATCATTCTGTAAGAGAAACATTTCTTAACCTTTTTTTAAATATTCATTGCCTAGCTGGTAGCTAAGAAGAAATTGTCAGCATAGCTGTTATTCTTAAATTTTTTAAAAGTGTCCAATTATGAATTAGTTTTGATAGTTTCAAACTTATATACTTAATTGAACAGTTTTCAAATATTGAAGAAAAATAGCTTGACTGAGCAATTCCTGATTACAGCTGAGTAGCTGTACAATTAAAAGGTAAGAGGACTACAATTGCTTGTCCAATTTTGGAAATGGTTGGATTTGAAATACTCCTCTAACAGCCAAATTATGTTGCCCAATTTCCAAATTGGGCAGCATGTAGTCCTATTTCCTTTACAAATTGTATGTACTAATTAAAATCACTCTATACAATAAAGACAGCTCTGTACAGAAATTTTCAGTTCTTGTGAGTTCTATGTGGTAACAGCACTGTTTGTGAGTCTACTGTAAAGTACTTGAGGCAATCAGGGAAGGCTCTTAAGGTATCTATTTCCCTTCATAATTATTCCTTTCAGGAGGAACTTTAAAGCAAGTAATGTAATTACATAAATTCTGACATAACGTGTTCAGTGCTGGTCGAAGAACTAAAAAATTGAGAATAATGTGTTCGATAAGTTTACGTGCACCATGTGAATTCATGCAAATAGCTCTCGACAAAAGCTCTTGGGTTGTTGTTTTTAAGGCAATTTTAATTTTAATGAATTTTTTGAGGCAATTTTTTTTGAACGAATTTTAAGAGAAAAACTCGCAGAACAATTTTTTTTTAAATCAAGACATACAATATTTTAACAAAACAGACATGTAGTAATGCAAGGGTGCGTGGGCATAAGCAAATCCGTCTACCGACTTTTAACAAAAGGACAATATGTATTGGAATTTAGGGCTTTCTTCTTGGCCAGTAATTTTCTATTCGTGTTCCCTTCAGACCCACATGTACTTGTCACTGAAGATTAAACAACAATCACTGGCTCAAGATAAAAGAAAGAATCTCTTTTCTTTGCATTCAGAAGGGAAACAATACATGCCGTTTTCAGATAATTATGCAAAGATTGGTACGGTTAACGTTATGTTTTCGGTGTCGAGATGCAAATCACAAACCTTTATCCTTTCTTCCTGTCTTTTCAGAGCTTTTCTGAGGTTTTTCGTTCCAGGACGCTCCACTTCGTACCTGTAATTCGTTGCCATCGACATCTTAGTAAAATCGAAAGTCAAAAGAGTAAAACCTCAGGGGAAGATTAGAAGGCTGAACACTAAATCCTAAAATTGTTAGTTTTACAATGGCGAGCAATATGGCGAACAAGGGATGAAAACAAATGGCCGCGTTGTCTTGGTAACATTATTTTAAACCCAGTCCTTCTCGCGTTAGCCTTTTCCAGGCTCGCTCTCCTTCGGTTGAGACGAGCAAGGAACCAGGCGAACATCAAACGAGAAAGGAATCCTTTGAGGGGGGTATAGGGGAGGGGGGAAGATCAACCGTTCTGAAATCTCATCAATTTCATAGAGAGGACTCAGAAACTAAGGTTGTACCATAAATGCAGTGGAACCGCGATTTAACGAACCTCTATATAACGAGGTCCTCGGTATAACGAAAGATACTTTAGTTTCAGCCCGGCTAAAGTTACAGTAAAATGTATGCCACACAACTCCGATATAACGAACCCTCGAGACAGTGGAACCTCGATTTAACGAACCTCCTCATAACGAAGTCCTCGGTATAACCAACGATACTTCAGTTTCACCCCGGCTAAAGTTACAGTAAAATGTATACGAACCAATTATACGGCCATATAACGAACCAATTTCCCCATTCCCTTGGCACTTCGTTAAATCGAGGTTCCACTGTAGATACAGCACTGTATCTTACTGTCAATGAAGCGGATCAAAGGTTACGAATTAAGGCGCACCTCTCATAACTAAAGTCATGCGGTTTCTCATGTTGAGACCGTGGGAATGGCTGCTAAAACTACATGACGTAAGACCGTAGTCACCAAAATGTTTTTCTACCGCGCGACAAAATCTTTATCTTGGGCGAGGCCAAAGTAGGTTCCACGTGGAAATAGTATCGATAAAAGAGGCAACGTTTCGAGATTCAAAGGGGTAACACTAACGAGAACCAAACGTTGAAAAAAGTAGAAACTAGTTATTAATTTTCGCCTCCTATAAAAAAACAACTAACTTTATCGATTATCTTCAGGTATAAGAAGATGATATTATTGGCGTTGAAACAGCTGTTGTGGCCTTCAATAGGTGGATCTTTATGTTTACCCGGCCCTCCAACTTATATAGATTGCATTTCTCCTGATGTTCAGTTGAATCATTTGACCTTAACCATTGTTCATTAAATTCACATAGTCTGAGATTCTTTTAAAAGCAGCTTTATTTACTTCCTCTAACAGTTCAAGCAAAAGTACCGTTGTATCAAGTATAATTCTATATAATTTTACCTCTATAAATCTGATGAAATAGTTCTAAAAACCTATGATTCTCGAACAGAAGCAGAATATGGTGACAATTCTCGTTACCTCAGAATTATAAGGAAACACTAAAACTCTATGATTTTGATGATCAATCAAAGTCCGTCAGACTTTGAGTCCTCCTTTAAAATAACATTGTTAAAATTTGAATGGTTTTGAAACAAGTAAGGCAATCATTTAACACAAAAATCTGCTTAAAATATCCTACAATGCTTTTGTTTTGATTCTTTGGCTTTTAAAATGCAATTTTTTGTTTGCATTGGCTTTGATTTCTCTTCTACTCAATTTTTGCCTTCTTCAGTAGCTGTGACTTTTCAATCTTCGGTTGTTTTTTGGGCGTATCCGACCGAGTCTTCTGGAGTGTTGGTGTTTTCAGTCAAAGCAGACCTATCCTGGCTGTTAATTCCATGTTCCCTGGTCGTCCTAATTGAAATTTAATTGTGTTAGCAAACATTCACATTTACATTGAGCTAATCGCCTCCCGGTTAGCTTAATGGATAGAGCGCTGAACTGTTGTGCGGGAGGTCGAGGGTTCGAGCCCCGGCTGGACCAACACTCAGGGTCTTAAAATAATTGAGAAGGATATGCTACCTTTCTATAACAGCAAGAAATGTTTAGATATTCTAGTCTTCTGGGATAGGGACGAATAAATGGAGGTCCCGTCTCCTGCAGGGTTAGGGGCAGGAGACGTTAATTTCCCACACACGAGATTACTGCGTAATGGATGTCCTTCCCTGGGGTGGCCGGGGATGGGTGGGTAACAGGACCCCGTTGATGCCAGTGTTTACTACACTGAAGGGGCTATCCTGTATAAAAATATGGATGTCTACAACGTATGATTTACTTTACATCCGACCTGTCAGTAAAATCTAGAGTTTATTGTCTTTGTTTTTTTTTTGTTTTGTCTTGTCTTGTTTGTTAGTTAGTTAGTTTGTTGTTGTTTTTTTTGGCAATGGGGAGGGGAGGGAGCTTGCGGAGAAGAGGAACTTTAACTTATACAATTGGTTGCATTCTATTTTCTCTGTGAGGATCAATTTTTCTCTTAGCTAACGAACAATATTGGTCAAAGAAAACCGTAAAGGACACTATTCCAGGCAGATAACAGCCTCCTACCTCACATTTACTTGTTTCCGTTCCTTGGACTCCGGGGTGCCTATCTGAGGGCATGTCGATTCAGCCTCGGAGACTTCTGGGGTATTATTCAGCCCCGAGTCATACAGTGGGTTACTTACACCCATTCCAGTCCTTTTGGAAGATGTGAAAGAAGTTTCCATTTCATCGTCGCTGCTTGCTGGGGTAAGGGCTGCTGCAGGGCTAAGATGGTTTTTGTCTTTCGTTGCCATGCTGAGCCGGTCTAAAATACGACATATAGCGATGCATCACTCATAAATAATTGGGTATTTTTAAGAACAGTAGAGGAAATGTTATTAGCTCTCGTCCCTCCTTGATCACCTTCACCCTTTACTGCCTTGACACTTGAGACTAAAGCTAGATTTATCCCCAGACACTTCTAAAATAAAAAAGAACCTCAACTGACTTACTCAAACTTGCTCGTCTAACTCCTATTGTTTTAGTTTAGGAAAGTTTGCCTAGAGAGAGGAGACGCAAAAGGAAGCACAAATGAACAGAAAATCACTGTACTTGTTAATCTGTGTCTGAAGCTTTTCTTCTTTCCAGAAATTGGTCGCATTGCGCTGTCGCTTCCTTCATCCAAAAATGACTCCACACTACTGCTAAGGCTGTCCGTTTCCTCATCACCAGACTGCTCCGGGTTCAACACGCGATGTATCTCAGGGGTGCCCGGTAGAGAAGAAAGGAGCCTGCATTGAAAAATAAATAAAATGAATAATATTTTGGCTCATGAAAGTCTCTTTGTAGGAGCACATTTTTTGTGCATCAGCCTTAGCATGCTCTCCATCATATGTTATATTGTGATAAAAAGTCATTCATCAGCATTGTAATGACATGGCATTCTGTCGATAAGCTATACCAGCCCTTAACCAAACAAATGTCCAACATACTACGTATTACATGCTAGAACCAGGCATTTCTAGATTTACATTTGTGTGTTTTTTGGAACGAGACTCAATGTCCCTATATCACCAGCATACATTTGTGGAACAGCATTCACATTGGGTTGTAGAGTGTCATCATTGCTACCATACATTCTTTCAGTCAAGTCTCGTTTTCCGCGCATTGTACTGCAGTAGGGAAGCTCAATCTCGGATGTCCTTTCCACAATCCTACAAAAGTACAATGACAGGATGTTACTGTGTCTAGAGAGCCTTAGGATCATTTCATGTGGAGCCTTTGTCCAATTCTGTGGTATATTAGGGCTGGGGTGTTTTCTTCATCCTTCTGACTCCGGTTGTTGGAAGGGAAGCGTAGACAACGCTATATACTGGATAAATATCTATCCAGTTAGTGTTTCTCTAACAGCTTACTAGCATCAGTTTACAGCGTATACTCCATTATGAGGCGAGGCGATGCAAAAATAAAGTGCATCGCCCTAAATCGCGACCCGGAAACCCGGCTAAGGCTCCAGCCAGGACCCTTACACTTAATTCCTTGGTATCTCTTATACAAGGTAAATTTTAAGTTTCATCAGCAGGCTCTTTGCAGCAGTAGTTAAAGAAGAGTATTCGCTGTTGAAAATTTATTCGCTTAGGGTTAAAAATGTCTTTCGAACATTACCTCTGTGATTCTTGTTTCTTTCTACGTCGCCAGCACACAACACCAACAAGAATAATAAGCAACACTCCACAACCGACGCCAGTCACAATCCATATCCAGTTCCCATTCCTCTCTTCATTTCCAGCGATTAAGATCTTGGCTGTGGTTTGATCACGTGATGCAAGGACAGCGCCACCTGTGGTCTTGTCTAACTGGACCCAGACTACGCTCTCGTGTACTTCTTTCTTGTCACTATCGACGTTGATGATAAACGAGTCGCTCCACTGACCATCAGTTAATGACACTTGTCCAGATTTCGGCCACAGCATCTCCATACTGTCTGATGAATCGTTTTGGTAAAGAGACCATCGCACAGTTATGTCACCCAGCGAACCTTTCGCTCTACGTACTGGAAATTCCAGTTTGGTGACTTGTCTGGGAAGGGTAATTTCTACAGCTCCATTGTCGTTGTACACTACAGAGAAACAGGAAATAAAATCATTACATACATATAAATATGCCTTTCAGCTTCGAAGATTACTTCTGCAAAAAAAAAGAAGAACCGTACTATAAACACGCTAGTAATTTTGGTCAGTAGTCGAGTTAAAACCAATAAGAAATCAAGGCAATCCGAAAGCAAGAAGCCCAATAATAGGTTGGGGAGGCATCTTAGGAATAGTGTGCAGATGACACTTAAAATAATAAGAGAAAATTAGCAGTGTACATAATCCAATATCCGACTCGGATATGTCCGGTATTTAATTGCAACAAATTTGAATTTGCTATATGCAAGGCAGATAATTTGTTGCTTTACTAAGATCTAGATAGCAACCTCTAAGATAATCCACCTTTATCAACACTTCTATGGATAACTTTTTCATATGTAAACCAAGGCCAAACTATTGATATATGGATTGTGGACTTTTCTCTAGTTTTACGACAGGGTTCTTTAAATGGCACAATCGCACTTACTTGAGTTGTTTTTGTCGAATAAAACCAGACCATTTTTAGCGTAGAATGACCAAAGGAAGGAAAACTGAGTCAGGTGACAGACTTTTACTGTCAACAGTTTAATCGACCTGTTCACGTGACTCCAGGGCTCAGGGCATGTGAAAGCGGCATCAATCCTAAGCCACAGATAGAAAGTAAAAAAGTAAACAATAAGCTAAATATTTCGCTTGATGCATAGACCAATAACGATGGCAAGATGATGATGACAAATCTTGTTTAATCATCAAGGTGTCCTTCATTGCACGAGCCAATCAATCACCTTTGCCCATTATCAAAATATGAAATTAATTAGGAATTAGTTAATTAAGCAATGATTTACTCTACAGAGAGGCGTAAGATCCCAAAATCGTTTCAGGTTGGAACCTTTCGCAACGGAACTTTGGGAATACTGAGAATTTAAAAAAATCTGTTTCCAGGGTTAAAAAGTATGGCCTAAAAATTGATCCCTGGTAACTCGAGATGTAAAATTTAAATCCACCATTATACGTTTGAGTTACATCATCTCGCTGAATAAAAAAGCGATGCTTCGCACATTCTTTAAGCATTTCTTAAATGGCTATTTTTCCACTTAAGTTTTAACAACCTGCAGCAGCAAACTTACCAGGTTTCATTCTTGGGATCCCACAGATACAACACAGGGTCAATGTCTTCCTTGGTGAGTTCATTATTGACATGCTTACTGTTGGCTTTCACCAGGTTGTCAACGTCGTAGAACATGGCAATTGTGATTGGCTTAGCAAACTTGAAGCCTTCTTTCACCGTGTCATTCTGCGGGTCTAACGCCTTTATGACAAAACTGTAATTTCCAAGCATGAATTGCTGTACAATTAAAACAGGAACACTATGAGTGAGTTTGTTGCTGATGTAGCAAGCAATGTTTTTGTCAGTCGTCACACCTACACCTCTAACATTCCACCCGCAAGTGACAGCCCTCCTCGTAAGGTCTTGCACAGAGATGAGAGAACAGAAGTTACTGTTGCACTAATTGAAAATTCTCCAGGAGTTTCCCCGCACTTCTGCAAAGTACACGTCATTTTCTTCATTCTCAGAGATTGATGTTCATTAAAAGCCATGCAACTGTCCAAATTCGAGTTTAACTATGACGGAGGATACTCATTAGGTGGAAAATAACGAACAAAGAAACAACCAAAAAAAGAACAAGCCGACAAACTGCTGAATGAAGGAAAGACACGGACAGATAGAGAGAAAGTTGAAAAGGTAAATTGGCCACCGTTACGATTATAACGATTATTTACCATTTCAACTTTGTTGATATATTCAAATTAATTCGTTACCCCCACCGACGCAGCCCCAAATATTTTCTTTAGAAACTATCAGCCTTTATTCAGATAGAGAGAAAGAACGAGGAAGGGAACAAAAGACATCTGTCATTATTTAAACCAATCAAAATCATACCTTAGGCCTAGTGTACTTAGGGTTGCTAACAGGACCCTCCTCAGTCTTGTTTGTATCCATAGTTTCCTCATCCAAGCTGTACGATCTCAACTTCACTTGCTCCTCAACAGCACCTTCAGGTACAGTCAATGTCCCGTATGTCTTTCCCACTCCTCCATCTTTGCGCGATCCGTCTTCTTTAACATTTACCGTATCAAAGAAAAACTCGGCGGTGGACGCGTTGTCAAAAGTGTATTCCGACTTGCCGACTACTATTCCGTCGGAAGAAAGCTTTTCTGACAGAAGACCAGCACCGTTTGTGGCGCGCACAGTAGCGTAGTATTTTTTTCCTACGCCGAGTGCGTTGTCTTTGAACTTAGCCAACCATATAGTCGTGTTGGTAACTTCTTCGAACTCTTTGATATCTGTTTAACCAGGTGCGGTCCCCCAAGCAACTTCGTATGACGTCACATCACTGTCTGGGTCACTCGCAGAGAAATAGGCAAAGATGATATCAACAAAGACCTACGATGAAAAAAAGTTGAAAAGTGAGACATTTTACAATAATAATTACTCTAATAATAATAATGATAATGACAACAATAATAAAAACAAAAAACGATGATAATGATACGTTTAATTACTTTATGAGAAATCGTTTAGCAAATAATAATCAAAATTGCTTTCTAGCCTTTCAAACTTCTCAAGGAATCATTGTCAGTATCCTGAGTCCAAGTGAGTTACGAACCAGGTAGCAAAGAAAAACTTGGTTTGCTTCATTTTAGAAACCAAATAATTCGGTGAATTCGAGCATTTTGGTGATATGGCGAGAAACACTTCCAAGATCTCATCTTGGAAAATAAGTAATAGCTTATGAAATGAATCAGGAAAAAATTCTTTACTCTAGCGTCAGGCTTGTATACCTGGAAATCCATATCAGGACCCATGATTCCATCCCTGACATATTCCATCACAGGCGGTGTAGTATCTATTGTGACGCCATCACTGTGAGCGGCTGAACATCTGCGAGCTCCATTGCAGGCGACAACTGTCACATAGTAAGAGTCACCCTGATCAAAATTAAGACCGTAATGACTTCCGTTTGGCCTGAATCCCGTACTCTCACATTCCCGGATGTCGTCACTCATAGGCCTTGATCCTACACACCAGAAGTACTCCACAATGTCGCTTTCTTCGTCAAGGAAGTCAAGCCATCTGGCGTGTACCTCTCGCGTATTATTGGTATAGTCCACATCAGTTTCTTCAAAGCTTCGAGTAGAGCACTGACTGTCTTCACCTAATGTCGAATTGTCTGAGCAGTTCGTGTTTGGGTCGCTGCCCAGTCCATCGTAGACGATTCCAGGCTCAGGGGATGTCGGATCGATGACAAACGACTCCGTGAGAGAACTTGTTGAGAGATGGGCTCGTGTTGTTTCAAGTAATTGTACAGTGTACAGGTTTTCTGGACCAGGGACAAGAAATGATTCATTCGGGAACGAAAAGTTCACGCCATTTGTCGAGTTATTCACAGTCGATGAAGAAGGACAGGAAAACGAATCACAGATACTTGATTTAAAACTAAACGGATCGTCGCTTTGAGGTGCTGAACATCGCATTCCTTCACACTCTGAGCACATTTCCGCAAACCCCCCAAATGACTTCCGTTTAGCCTCGCAAGGCACGCAACGTACAGAACCAATTTCGTTTATCTGAGAAACGCGAACTCTTATATGATTAGTAGGGCAATACGTTGCCACATAGACCTTTCCAGTACCTGAGTCCTCACCCTGTCCTGGCCATGTGACATCATTTGGGGCTCCAAACAAAACGGTCTCATTGTCAAATGATACGGAAGTGCGTGGAATGCCATCATCTACTCTAAATCCACTTTCTCGCGCGACCACACTCCCTAAGTTTGCGCATTTCCTCAGTTTATAATCTGAGTAGATTCCATGGAAACCTACCAGTTGCACACCATCCCGGCCGTCTAAAGTCTGCATACCTAACGCGATAATGAAACCTCCATCGCGAGCACTCACATCCAGGTATCCACTCAGACGTTCGTTTGGTGTGAACTCACGCTGACATACGTTTTTGAAGGACTTTGATGAAATGTTCAGCTGAAGAACTTTTACACACCTGGAGTCCTTAGAGACCATAATTAGCGCGTTAGTCTCCGTAAGATAAAGTGACAGACCACCTGTAATATTTTCGAGCTCAGACATGCAAAGTGTCATGACCAATGAAAAAGATTCGACAGAGTATACCGAGATACAAGAGTTCTTTCCTTCTCCTGTCGCCACTGCTAGGATGCGTGCATTCATAGTCAAAGACCATCCAAAGTCAGAATCACTTTTTCCCCTTCTCAGTGTTTGCGCAAACCTCCACAATCCACCCCGTTCTTGGAATACGGCTACAACACTGGCGTTCGTAGATGAGTTGACTCCCGTCATAGCGATCGTATTCCGATTAATGGCTATCACGTGTTTCACACTATCGGCCCATTTGCTTTTGGCAGCACAAACAGCTGTTGAAACAGTCTTGCAGTTTCCAAGAATAGCGATCCTGGTCAATTCAAGCTTGCCATCGTCACTGACTTCACTACGGTAAATATAAGCTTTGCCATTGGCCAAGAATGCGGACCTATTACTGTATGATACCACCATGATGGGTGTTGTCGGGGAACCAGCAATGTCATTTGGTAATGTTATGTGGCTTGCAGCCCTGTTTCGAAGAGGCAAAACAAACGCTTTATCTGCAGAACCAACAGCAAACTGATCGTTTGGTAGCCTAGCGATAGAAACTCCAAAATGCTGGGACGGTATGGTTGTTTTAAAATGCGTGTCACTGAAGACAGATTGTGGATCAACAAGGTGTCTGGTACAACAAGGACCCTCGGGATCGACAAAACCTGGGAATACTTTCATTATGCTTGAATCTTCAATAGTGTTGGTTTCATTCGCCGCAGACGTAACTCTTTGGACAACGATTTTAAATTCTTTGGTCGGACTGAAAAGCTTGTGATCCAAAATAAAAGCTGTTCTGTTGCTAGAGTCATTTAAGCCACTTCTCACAATCAGTTCCACTTCCCTAAGGGAGGAAATATATTTTACCTCCGAATCTAATGCACTGTCATTAACCGGGGGCAATCTCAGATTTGGAAGCCAGCGGAGGGGCTCTTGCTCGGCGCCTTTATCCAAGATGAATAATCCACGCTTTGGAGGAGCGGTGGGTTCGATTCTCAGTCCATCACTCGCAGACTCACTGTATATACCTCCTTCGTTCCAAACCTTCACAACCCCTCGATAACGTTCCCATCCTTACAATGCAACGCCTCGGATAGTCACATTTCGTTGCCATGTCAAGACGTCCATGAAATCGTGTACGAGTGGTTCGCTACGCCAGGACCTATCTGAGTTAATATGCGGTAAAGACACGTTCGGGGAAGGCTGTGTGATGGCCACCTGAATACGCAAACGCGAAATATCTTTGACATATCTTCCAATTATCTCCCATCTGAGTGACAAACTTTGCGCCATAGATTTCCAGTCAATGTCAGTAAGATTGCTTGTGTTCAAACTAGGAATGTCAATAACTTCCACAACCTTAGGTGCAATGGATATGACCTTGCAGTGTTCAGACACCAAACGAGTTCTCAATCCTGCTCCGTTGATGGCGTATACTGTAGCAAACAGGATCGTACCTGAAAGGAGTCTCTTCACAAGAGCAGCTCCTTTTATCTTCACATTCACTGACCTCAAAGTTACCATATCACAGTAGCCTGGAGATGTCCCAGCACACCATTCATAACGCGCTAGCTGGCTCTCTGGATCCTCAAATTCATCCCAGTCAGCTTTCAATAGTTCTTCAAAGCAGCTGAATCGCATATGAATGCTTCCTTGGGTGGTGTCGTTGGATGGAGATTGAACCCTCGGGTCAACGGTATTGTTTCCACCAGGAGTTTTATGAGTTGTGTTGATCCAGCCGCTGTCGACATCTTTTAAGACAGGAGGCGTTGAATCGATCAATATTCGATTCGTTGTTCTGTCTGAGGATAATCCAATGTGGTTTGTTCCTTTGATAACAGCATAATAGGCTTCGCCATGGAGAAGTTGTAAGCCATGGAAAGTGAAGCTTGTATTCCTTCCAACGTCAACGTAGTTAGTGACTGTACAGTTTCCGGGCACAGAAGTGACGCAGACTTGGTATTCCGAAATTCTGCTCTCAGAGTCAATAAACTGATCCCACCTGCACAAAACATATGGTAGTTTAGTGTGTGTTTTGGTGAAATCATAAATCGTTTGAGTCGAGCAACTTTCGAGATGAAAACAGTTTAAGTGTAGAAAAGCTTATTAGTAAATTGAGTGTCTACAACTTCTATAGAAGACATGTCACGATTGATGAAAAATTCTTACTAACACATATATCTTGTTTTCGTATCTACGAATCTGTAACACGCTAACCCACCTCTCCTACTCTACCAGATGTACATCTAAATGTATTGGCCTTACAAGGACTACCTCGCGTCCTTTTTTGATCCAATTTCTACTTTCTTAAATATTGCACCAGCCACTACAACATTCTCTAATCTTGATCGAGGACATGACTAATCCGAAAATCTTATTGCGAATTGTGAACAGCACCTGACAACCAGCTTCGTCATATCTGACTGGTATTTGGCGGGTTCAATTCCAGTTCCTAATCTTGCTTCACTTGGCAAAGGAGGGGTAAAATCTACTGTGAAACCATCGGAGGAAGCTTCAACATGAAGACCAGCGAAGTTGATGGCTCTAACGACGAAAACGTACTGAGCGCCACTCTCGAGGTCTAAGCCTACACAACGAAAGCATGAAGATTACCTTCGCGAGATATTTCTCATTTTTCCACTAGCTATTATGCCATTTTATCATAGTAGGGGAATGGATCGCACAAAATATGCCACGATATTACAGTGTAGAACAGGGCAAAAATACGGACAGAAACGATCCACGCGATCATTGATTTCTTTTTCGTTTTTTAACACGACTTTTTCAGCAATGAACTCCGAAGCCCAGTTTTTTTGTCACAATAACACACAAAGGTTCCTTTAGGGTTGTTTTCTTCTTTCACATACACCTTATGCGATCAAAAAGATGCTCTGATAAGACCGTACAAATGTTCGAAAACTAGAAGACCAAAAGACTAATAAAATCAAATAATACTGGAATAATAAACTCTTTACTTGATGGTTTGACATATATGCGTGTATTTTTTTCCTCACCCCTACCGAGCTCGGAAAAAATACCACGCAACGTGCAAAATATCTGCGCGTATTATATGTCAAACCATCGAATGAGGTATATCTGTTATTACAAATAGTGCTTCAAAATTAGACAGAATAATGTGGACATGGTGAGGTTACAGCGGCACCAGGGAGTGCAAATGACCATCTGCAAATAATGTCAGACACAGCTGTACTGGAGGAGCATTCCATTAAAGGCGGAGAGGAGTTGTGGTAAAAAGCACTTATTTTCTTAGCAGCCGTACTATCATTGAGCGTTTGCTCGCTGGAGCTCACCCATATAAACGCAAATTTGAAAGTTTAAGATTTAATTAAAGATGAGGGAGTATTTTGCGGTTGTTACAACAGGGAAGGGAAACATTTCTCCGTTCATGAAGTCTTGTAAAATAAACTGAAATAATGATCAGTAATAATATCAATCATAATGATGATAATGATAATAATAAAAATAATAATCATAGTTGCTCAAAGTTTGACTCGAGTCTCGCTCACGAAAAACTGTTCGCATCTCAACAGATAATGTGTGTGGAAATATATCCGTAAAACTTTTTGGGCTAATCGGAGGCTATTGTTTATATCAACTTCCTTAAACATATTTCACCTGTTATTGAGACATTTGTAGCTTGCCCCACTCCAGTAAAAGGTTGTGGGCAGGAGGAGAGGTTCCTGGCGTCACATAAAGCGAGTTTATAGGATTTAATACCAGATTCCAAGTCTTCAAAGTTAAACCAAGAGGCACGGATATCTTGTTCCCCATTCACATAATTGACATCTGTGTCACTCCCATCAATGACATGCCCAGATGTGGGTGGCGTTTCATCCACTGTCACTCCATCCGACGTAAGTAAAGCTTGGACACCTGCGCCGTTCATTGCCTTCACTGTGACAAAATACCGCCTACCGTTCGTGACGGGTTCAACGAGAACCTTGCTGACAGACGTACTGGATATGGTAAGTTCAGTTTCATTGACTAGATCGCAAGAGCCTGGTGACAATCCAGCGCACCACGTGAGACGAACGACTTCACTTTCAAGGTCTTCAAATGCTTTCCAGCGAGCTGCTATTTGGGTTCTGCTTTGTTGCATGTCAATGTCTTCACCTTCCTTTGTTCCATCTATAATTTGTCCTTCAGAAAGGGGACCTACAATGAACAGCAAACCATATCGTTTCAATCGACGAGAACAATAAGAACATGTCTAAGACAAAAACAGCCTAACAACGACTCCATCAACAAAAAAGACAAAGATTAAAATAACCCTCAAAGCCTTCCTTTTTTCATAGCCTAACCTGTTTTAAATATTAATGGATGATTAAATTCTTTTAATGCGACCCAGAATAATTTATAACCCTGTTCCAATGAATACATCAACTCAGAGTGAGGGTAGCAAAGACCATGTTTATTGTCAAAATTTCTCACTGGCGTAATCTAATCTAATCCAATTATTCTAACCAAGTATTTAGATGAGAACTCGTCTAAATTACCTGTCTTGTCAACAGTGACGCCATTCGAGGACTTAACGTCGCTGACAAGGTTAGCTCTGTTCTCCGCCTTGATAGAAACAAAATATCTCTCGCCTTGAATAAGCTTCAGGTTTCGCAGAGTGTAACTAGTAGCGTTACCTAGGTCAGTAAAGTTCATAATATTACATTCACCAGGCTGGGTGCCAACACATAGATAATATTTCTGGACTCCACTCTCCTTGTCAAAGAATCCACTCCACTCTACTGATATCTCTGAGTCGGTGAACACCTCAGAAGTTTCTCCTACAGGCAGATTCTCAACATGCATGACCTCACCCACTATTGGGGAGGTTGAGTCAACCACAAAGCCATTCGATGACAACTCGCTGGCTCCACCAACAATGTTCGTAGAGCGAATCGTTGTTACATACTTCACACCCTCTTGAAGCTCTAAGTCAGCAATGCAAATTATAGTGCGGTTTCCAACGTCCATCTGCTGTAACAAACAGCTGTTCTCGTCGATGACGGAACAAATGGACACTTCGCTCTTTAATACACTACTTTCAGTGTCCTTTGTTTCCCAGCTAACACAGTATGCGTCTTTGGCAGTTATGTAGTCTTTATCACCAAAAGGCGATCGTAGCTGGAGGTCGATTACCTGTGTGGACGAAAAGATCAACTTAACTAAAATTATAAATTATAACTGAAAGAAGTTGACTTATTTTTTGTTGATCTAAACAATTGAATAATGGGCTTATAGGCAAGTAACATGAAGAGACGACTGTTTGGAATACACTACAGACTGCTCGAATAATTTGCGTTCGTAGAGAGTAAGTGAAGTTTCGAGGAACGATACAAAACAAATGGACTTCACAGAAGAGCTAAATATCGATATATCAACAAAATTCAAACGATTAACATTAAGTTACCTTAGAGATATCAGGAGGGGTACTATCCACTATAACACCGTCAGACGACACCCTGGTAACCGCTCCTGCACCGTTGTAAGCGCTAACCGTCACAAAAACAGCCATTCCCGTCGCTAAGGATGGACGAATCTGCTGACCGTAGGCAGTGTGTTCACTCACATCCATTTCAGGAATGATGTCACAAGTTCCTTTTATCGTTCCAGCACACCATGCGTACCTGGTTACCCCAGACTCTTCATCCTGAAACTCGTCCCAGTTGGCATAAATAAATGTACCACCCGCTTGGAAATCAATGTCCTCAAGTGTTTGCCCATCTCTGACTCTGCCCGCAACAGGAGGAGTACTGTCGACTTGAATTCCATTAGAAGCTGCCAAGCTGCTATAGCCGACTTCGTTCGTTGCTCTCACGTTCACAAAATATAGACCCCTGTGATTCAAACTTAAACCAGTAATTGTACCTTTAAGAGCCATCCCAAAACTAACAAAGTCATTTACGTCGCATTTTTCTTGCGCTGTTCCCACACACATCTCGTACTCGGTGATTCTACCGTTAGAATCGGTAAACGGTGACCAATTGGCGGAGATTTCACTTTCCGATATCTGCAGGGCTGCGTCATTTCTCTCGTTCGAGCCATCGTAAACAGTACCGGGAGTCGGTAAGGTAACGTCGAGTATAAACTGATTAGATACAGCTTCACTGAACAACCCCACCTTGTTATGGGCTCGGACCACGACAACATATGAAACTCCAGGTTTGATGTCAAGAGCGGAATTCCTTAAGTTCCTTTTGAGTCCGACATCGACAAACGGGGTGATGCACTCTTTTTCAGAGCCAGAGTGACAGACAGCCCACTCAAAGTGACTCAATCCACTCTCTTTATCAGAGAAACCACTCCAATCTGCCGTAACAGGCTCATCTTTACGCAGGTACTCAGTTCCCAGTGTATTTCCTACTATAACGGCACCCTTTGTTGGCTTAGTACTATCAATAAGCAGCGGTTTAGAGATGGCAGTTGATATCATGCCTGCACCGTTTGCTACCTTAATTCTAATGAACACCACAGCTCCTGATGCAAGCGGGTGCGAAAGAGAATGCTTGATCCTTGTTGTACTTGTTTCTACATCTGTCCATGGGACAATATCACACGTTTCTGATCTCGAGCCAGCGCACCACTCTACAGAAGAAATTCCACTTTCTGCATCGGAAGGAGCTTCCCAGGAAAATGATAACAAACGATCATTTCCTTGCTTGATATCGCATGAAGAAATACTAGAAATATTGCACCACTGGACAGACGAGAAAACACGTAGGGACGAAACACCAAAAGCGTCGGTTTGATCTGCATCAGCTGGTGTGTCCCATACAGATCGCGCTATCCGACGGGAACCCGAAGATAAGGAAGGCTGCGAATCTGCACTCTTTTGAGTCTCATCGGCCACTAGAACTTCCCCAACGCTTGGTGGAGTGATGTCCAGCATTACGCCATCAGAGTAAGCTGTTTCTTTTAATCCAGCACCATTTAGAGCTTCTACTGTAAAGAAGTGTCGTTGGCCTTCTTTTAGGACAATGGAATAGTGCACACTTGTTTGGAGATTTGCAGATGTCATGTTATGTACGTTGCAGGCGCCTGGGAGAAATAAAAAAATACCACATTACAGGTTCATGCATTAAAAGGCAATCTCATTTTTAACTTTTTTTCTAAGGAACAATGGATCAGAACGAGGCTTCTAGAGATTTTCTACATAGAGAAATTATAACTGAATGAAGATGTTGCGAGTTGTAGTGCTTGTACCTCCACAGATAATCACAAAATATTTGAAGTAATATTGAAGTAACTGAGGTGAACAGAACATAGACTTTACCGTCAAATACGGTTTTCATAAAATTGCCGAGCCATACATAAACGTAGTTCCTTTAGTTTCCATGGTCATGAACGAGACAAAACTGAAACCCTTTTTCCTCTCATACAGAATTTCCCTATTTTACGCGAAATGCTCTCACGAAAAAACTAGTTCTAACGAGTATAAAAAAGTCAAATGCTTACCTTGCGCCGTTCCAACACACCAGCTGTACTCAACAACACCGCTCTCAGTATCTCGAAATCCCTTCCAGTGGGCAGAAAGTACCCCATTTTCGTTCTGGTAATCAATATCGAGGAATTCTTGGCTACCCGTTGAGGTTAGGTTGCCATCAATTACAAGACCAGATTTTGGTGGCGTCCAGTCCACTACAACTTGCTGTGATGTCAGAGTGGTTTTTAGGCCGAGCATGTTGACTCCAGTAACTGTTACGTGAAAGACTAGCCCTTGGTGGAGGGTAAAATTAAGTTGATCTAAGTCGATGGAACGACTAAGGCTGTCTACGCGTTGAAAATCTAGCAAATTGTCCTGGAATTGGAAACTACCCACACCGACAAGAAAATGGCTTATACCACTCTCAGGATCGTCAATGGACCACGTGACCACAGGGGCAGAAGTTGTGCTCAGGTACAGGGTTCCTTTTCCAGTTGTAGGAGAGATCTGGAGCGATTTTCCCATTGGGGGCGTTCGATCGACAACAACACCATCCGATGAAGCACTGACATGTTCTCCTCTGCTGTTCTCAGCTCTCACTGTGACGTAGTATTTCTTGCCGTGTTCGAGTGTTAGGTTGTGGAAGCGGTTCGTGGACGTTTCCAGATGATATGACTCCAAGAATGGCCACTTACAAATATCAAATCCAGAAGGGCTAGGTGGTTGATCCCTAATGCACCAATCGTACCTGAAGATGCCAAATACTGGATCCTTGTAGCCACTCCAGTGCGCCCAAATTGCTTTGTCGTCTAGTTGGAAGTCAATGTCCTTCGCTGATATAACTGGGCCATCGCTCACTACCCCAGCGGAGAACTTTCCAAGTATGACAAACAATCCAGAAGAGCAATCAGTCCTTTGAAGCCCAGCACCATTTCTGACCCGAATGCAAACGAAGTAAGTTTTATTCCCGACGAGAGTTTGATTATCGATTACCACTCCACCCACTGAGTCGTCTGCGATAACCTCGGTATAGAAATCACCGCTACTTGCTTTAAGTGATAGAGGATCTTCACCAACGGCCCAGCTAGTCTTTCTAATACCACTTTCAGGATCTGTAAATCCTGTCCAAGTAACCACCATGAATGATCCTGGTACTTCATTCTCGTTCCGATCATAGTTGCTTGGGAAAACATACTGAGCAACCACAACGCCAGGGTTCGGTGCAGTGCGGTCGATCACAACGCCATTTGATGCTGTCGTACTATATAAACCGGCTTTATTTACAGCAAGGAGCCTTAAGAAGTACGTTCGGCCGAGTAACAAAGGAATGTCTGAGATCGAAACGCTTGATAAAGCAATTGACACCTTTGTGAAGTTTTTGATGTCATTATTTTCTGGATTAGTACCCAATCCCCATGCGACAGACTCGAGTCCACTTTGGTCATCTTTCGCAGTCCATGAAACGCTCAAAGAAGCATTATTCGGGTCAAATGTTATTTTCAAGTCTTTCACTTCAGGTGGGGAGCTATCAATGATAACACCATCCGTCCAATTTACTGAGGACAGGCTGACAGCGTTAAGAACTTCAATGCCAACGACGTAAGTTTCCCCTTCTTCAAACTTTGTTAAAATTCGACCTTCTCCTGTTATAAATGCAGACCCTGTAGAGTTTACAGGTGTCTTTAAAGCATAAAAAGGAATAACGTATTCGCTCGTGCGTAAGTTTTTAATTGAGAAACGATATCCAAGTATTGGAGTTTCATTATCATAGCACACCCATGAAATGCTCAGCTTGCTTGAACTTGGAGCGTATTTCAAATCCTCATGAACATCTCCCTGACCATCCCAAACATGCAGGCATACTGGAGGTGAAGTATCCACGGTAAATCCATCTGATTTCACAGTAGTTTCCAACCCAACACCGTTCATTGCTGTCACATTAACAAAATATCTTCTTCCACTATCAAGATCTTTGGCTAACATCAAAGCTGCCGTGGAAACATTACCGTTGAAACTGAAGGACCCGTAGGCGTCGTCAACTGAGCTGAATACTTTCACTCTATATTCTTTTACACCACTCTCCGGGTCCGAAAATTTGAGTTTTACCGACAAGTTTCTTATTGAGTTTTGGTATTTTCCATCTTGGACATAAATTAAATCTGGAGGAGTATCATCAAAGACAACGCCGTTTGAAACAGCAATGGCTTTAAGACCCACTTTGTTTGTGCATATTACTGTTGTAAAGTAACGATATCCCAGTTGAAGATTGCGCGCAACTGTAAACGATGTTTTCTGAATCGGCAAGCTTGTGAAGTTCATAACATCGGCCTCTCCAGGCTGTAAGCCAAAGGCAATTTCTAAAGACGCCAAAGATGTTTCTGGATCATCGCAGGTCCATGTGGCAGCCAAGGAGCCTCCGGAGGTGGAACTTAGGTCTAGATTTGGATCGTCACCGTCGAGAACAGGCTTTAAGAAAACGGGAGGAGTGAAATCTACCAAAACACCTTTGGAGGAAACCATCGTACTAGGCATACCAAGCAGATTGAATGCAATCACGGTCGCATAATAACGACTGCCACTTGTCAACTCTGAAATTTGTAATCTTGAGCTCGCAGCTGTGTTTACGAGTCCTACATCTGTAAATTGTTGCACATCTTGGGCTCCAGGAGACATGCCGAATGCCAGCTGATATGTTAATATTTTTGTTTCTTGTTCAGAAAAGTTGAACCATGAAGCTCGAAGAACTGAACTCTCGATTTGTATGTCAATGTCCATCCCAGGTCTTCCATCGGTCACAATGCCTGGCAGGGGTGGCGTGTTATCCACAATAACGCCATTAGAATGAAAAAGCGCTTGATTACCTGCCCTGTCTTTCATCTTGAGGCATGCATGGTATTTTAGACCGGTAGTCATATTTAGCCCAAATAACACATGATTATTTGAATTGGATGGAACGATCTCTTCTTTTTTCACATCGCAGCTGATTGAGTCTGACCTGCTCGATAAACCTAATAGTACCGTTTCAACACCAGAGAAATCAGTAAAGCCATACCAGTGGGCACGGAATAGAGTGGAGTAGCTTTGATACTGGGCATCTACTGAACCCCATCCGTCTAGGATGATTCCTCTCTTTGGGGACTCTTGGTCAGAAAGCAGAGGGGGCGATGATCTGATGCTAAACAGCCCAGCGTTGTTGATGGCCCAGATGGTAATATAATAACGTCGGTTGTTTTCCACGGATAACAAGTTTTGCGCTGTCCAGTTGGCTCTCATTGAAGACATCGGTGTGGTTAATGGAGTCGACTGAAATTTCATGACGTCATCAGCCCCAGGATAGCTTCCAACTCCCACCTTGTACGTTGCGACTCTGGATAAATCGTCCTCAATTTCGAAATACGCTCTGAAAGTAATACGCGGTGTGTTTATAAATGTCAGTGTTTCGCTGAAATGTCCATGCTGGACGTAAGTTATTAGAGGGGGACTAGTATCAACGATGAATGTGTTTGACAAGCCGCGTGCAGCAACACCTGCTTTATCTTTTGCTTCAATAACCACTGAGTACACTCCATCTTCAAGGTCAATGTTACGCCCAGTGGACCTCACTCGTCCAGCCGTCATAGGTGCGGCCAATAGGGCATCAGTCTTCAAAGAGGCTACTGCAATACCAAAACCTGAAACACCACTATGTACATCGTAGAAGCTGTCGTTACTGCACTGATCAGGGTCGACTGGTCCAGATACTCTCTGTTCATCCTCTAAACACCAATTCCATCGTGCCCATACTGATTTACTTATCCACTGAAACAACTGAGGAGGACCCGTTAATCCGGTGATGACTTTTCCAGTGTGTGGAGGAATAAAGTCGACAATGGCTCCATTGCTACTGCCATTAGTACACATACCAACACCCTTGCAGCCAACAACTGTAACAAAATAACGCTGACCACTGCTCAGAAAAAGACCTGAAATGGTCATTCTGGTTTGCAAGCCAACCGTTTTAAAATTCTTAATGTCATCCAGTCCAGGGTTAGTCCCTAAACCAACGCGATATTCGACTAGGCCACTTTCTGAATCTGCGAACGCTTGTTCCCAGTGTGAGCTAAAGATATATCTTTCGCTGGTGTAGTTCTTATCCCTCCCCTCTACGCCATCTTTAATGTATTGTGAAGCGACCGTGGGCGGTGTATTGTCAATGATAATGCCATTGGAAGAAATGGTTTTCTTAAGGTTAGCTCCATTTATAATCTTTATGGAGACGTGATATCTTACTCGCGGAAGAATGTTGACATCAGAAAAACTCGCAAAAAGCATCCCATCTTTGAAGACTTTGTGGGTAACAGAGGTGACATCTTCAAATGCTCTCACGTCATGTCCTCCTGGATAAGTGCCAATTCCTACCAGTTGTGCGCTGATGCCACTTTCCTGGTCCCCACATTTCCATTTTGCTTGAATACTGCTCAGTTTTCTTACAAAGTCAACATCAAACAAATCTTCATTGTTCGTTACGTCAATAGCATTCGTTTCGCAATACGGCGGCGTATTATCTGGCACAAATCCATTTGTTTCAATAACTGTTTGAAGTCCAGCCGCATTTGTTCCACGGAGTACTAGCTTGTAAGGGAAACCAGCTTCAAGAGAAAGGCCATTCATAAGAGGAGTCTGTTGTGTGAGTGCAATATCTACAAATGATGTAACATCTTCATCGGTTTTGTTTCTTGAAATCTTCCACTCGTATCTCACCATAGGGCTCTCGGGATCTTTGAAAAGATCAAATTTTCCCCGAACACGCCTTAGCGATGGCAGAAACATTGCATCAGCTTCACCAGCACCATCCTGGAAATACCCGGCAAAAGGCGGTGTCGTGTCAATCAAAATACCATCGCTGCACATAACTGCTTTTAGTCCAAACAAATCCATCGCATAAAGGCGTGTGAAATATTTTTTGCCGTGATGCAAATCTAGGCTAGATGTCTGGATGGTAGTTGAATCACCAAGAGTCGTCAGAGGAACGATATCTGCTTCAGCTTCGTCAAAAGTGCAGCTGGTAACAGACGATACCCCCCATTTTATGAATGCAATATCTTCAATATTGCTCTTGAGGGCAAAATTCATACCTAAAGCGTATGTATCTGACTGATAATCTGCATCTTGATGTTCATCGACACCATCGTAGACATAACGAATCTGAGGACCCTTACGTCTAGCCGTAAATTGTGGGCAGTTAACTAACTTACTGTCACGACCCATGTCATTTGTCGCCAATACGCTGACAAACACGTCTCGTCCATGCATTATTGGGAGATCGTTGATAACTACGCTTAAAGATGTTCCCACCCATGCAGAGTAGTCATCGCCAGAACCCTGAATGGATCCTATCCTCACGTGGTAGTTGTTTATTTTAGTATCTTCGTAGAATCCATGCCACTGGACGAAATATTTTTTGTCAGCAGCTTGCCTTGCAGTACATTCCCCAGCGATAGGAGGCGTTGTGTCTACATCTTCGTGGCAATTTGTAAAGAGCGTCCGGTCGATCGTTCTCGCTGACCACCACCACTCCGCAAGGGTCTTCTTCGAACACCATTTAATCTTAATGCTACAGCCAAACAACTTACACTTGATCCGAATGCAGAGACGGAATCTGTACCACAACCAAACTCTTATGCGAAGAGGAGTCATTCGTAGCCTAAGCTCAATGCAGGCTTTAAGCGGCCACTTATCGATCTTGATTCTCAGTTCTGGTACGAAGTAGGATTCTAGAAGTCTTGCCTCAATCGTAATTCCAGCTTCTACAATAAAAAGTGACAAAGAAGCTCCAGCGTATACAGAGATCCAGGCTCCAGGGATGAGACTAAGTCTGAAAACTTTGTCTCTCATACAAACTTGCCCTTGATAGTCCACACTATAGTAACCACCAGCCCCAGCAAATAGTCTTACAGGTATGCCAAACACAATGATGGTTTGCGAATATTCAGGGAAGAATTTATGATATCCCCTAAGAACATTTCCACGGAACAAGGTCATACACGATCCGAGATCTGAGACTTGCCTTCGCATTCTCCTGTTACTCTTATGAACTTCTTCCAGTTGTTCAGAATAAACATCAGACTCTAAGAGCTCTTGCGAGGTGCTTCGCTTTCTTGTGGTTCCGCAAATCATATCTCCGAATGGAAACAACCTCCGGGGTCGCAGAATGTAGTCATTCATAACTGTAAAAAAGAGGCAGTTCTCTTGGATTCCAAAAGTCATTTTCAAAATCGGCAGTCTTATATAGAAATATCTTTCTTCAAAGTCGCCACCTATAAGCTCTACATTATCTTTCTCAGCATAAGTACCACTTGAGAACGCCACTGCAATAACTTCATTGTCAACCCTGGAGACCGATTCTAAGCCCGAGGGGGTTCTAACGACCCTAGAGAGCGTGTTTTCTCCGGTCTCATCACCACCACTGATGTCATGGAACTCGAGCTTACATTGGAAACCAGAAATCATGGCACATTTCGAGATGCAAACATACTCGGTACTGAACTGTCTGACGATACCCATGCCTTGCGCGTTTGCTCCGATGATGATTACTCTGTCAGGTGTTAAGCCAGATGAAGACAGATCCCCACTCGCAGATAGCTTATAGCCGTAGGCCTTTCCACCTTTGCCGTCTGTTACCCAAAGGACATTTGTTGGCTCATCGTATGAAAGAGAAGTTGCACTACCTTCAACTGATGCAGATTTCGACACACCAATCCAAGATGGCTTTGGCGACGAGAAGGAACTTGTCACACCAGATTTCTTTACGGAATAAATTTTGTTTGATGCGCTGTCACTGATCCAGATCCAATCTCGAGCAACAGCTACTCCTCCTATTTTCACAACTAGAGGGCTTCCTTGACTACCAAGTTGAATTATCTTTTTAACTCCATTACCAAAATTGGTAACCACCAAAAGCGATGCTTTCCCTTTGTTACTTGAGACTCCGTGCATACCCAAAATAACCTCGCTCTTGGAAAGCCTTGAAATACCCTCTACTTTATAGTCATCAAATAAACCAGGGGTCAGCCATCGCCCACTCTTATCCATGGAGGAAAGGTCGTCTAGATGCGGGAACTTCCAAGTGAAAATGGTCTTTAGATAAAGTGATGAAGATCGTTTGATTGATCGTACACAGACTTCCCCTGAGCAATATGGTATTTGTTCCCACGGTTTGTAGGCCCTGGGGTCCAATCCTCTCTGTCGCAGCTGTAACTTGCTAAGAAAGTCGGTAACTTCGTCCAAAAAGTTGTTGACTTTTGTAACAGTATCAGTGAATTTGTTCGCATATTTGTCAAGATAGGGCTTCACGACATCACTGAGTTCTCCCGTTTCAGATAAGAGGTCGATGATTGGGCTCGAGAATGAATTGGTCACACCTTTTAAGTTATCAGCATATCTTGAGGCACCTTGGGTAACAGTATCTAGTGCTTGTAGGACGTGGTTTATATTCTTTGTCTTCTTCCACAGTTCGTATGACAGTTTAAGTTTAGAACGCACATCTCTAACCGCTTTAATATGTTCTAGAACAGCGTCATCGTAGACATTTCTCATTGATTTGAATGTGTTCTCGAGCAAATCTTGCATTTTCTTCTGTATTTCCTTCGCCTTCTGTATATAGTCCACAATTCTTTCGATTCGTTCCTTTACGTCTTTTATAGAGCGCTTTTGAATTCCACTCCCCTCGTTGTTTTCGACCTGTCGGCCAGTGATCTTTTGGAAAACCTTCTTCACTCTTTGAACATCGTCTTTGAGGGAGAAATTCCTGACTTGTTCCACTAGGAGTTTTACTCTGTCGATCACAGCTGTGATGTTATCAACGCCTTGTTCGCAAGTTTCAAGCATGTCATTGTAACCACTCGCTTCTTTAAATTTATCTTTCAGCACGTCGACCTTATCTTTTATGGTTTTAGCTTGATCGATAAAAGCTTTAGAGATGCAAGTTCCACCCTTGATACACTTCTGTATTTTGAAGTTCTTCCATGTAGCCGGAACCATGTCATAGAGAACTTTCACTTCTTTCTTGAAGTCCTTGTACTGATCAATGACATATCTCCCAACCCCAAAAGCTTTGCGGACGCATGGTTTAGTGCTCTCTACGAATATTTTCTTGATCTGCTTGCAGTCGGGTAATTGTCCCGCCGTCTCAAGAATAGGCGAAAAATTGTTAGTGAAAGGCTTAAGCTCTATCAGGACGACCATAACTTCACGCACCATGGCCTTGGTATTTCTCAGTTCGTCTTGCATCTCGTTGATTGGTTCTTTAATTCTACGAAACTTTGACACGGCTTTGCTGATGAGCTTATCGGCCTCTTCGTTGAAAAACGTATTAACTTCTTTGACAATGTCGTAGTTTCCAAACTTGTCGAGCGTCTCTGTAGCGATAGTCTTAAACTCGTTGCAGACATCTTTTATTCGCTGATCAAAGTCAAGTCCAAACTGCTTTCTGATATCAAGCTTCTGGATCTCTTTTTCGTAGTCTTGGGCTCTGTCCGCAAAGTTAAGAATATCATCTACTGTTTTCCTTGCTTTATTTGCGTACTCTGGCAGATTTTTGAGACGCGCGAGGGCCTCGTTGATCCGAACAGCTATTTCACGAACGGATTTCAGGAACCCTTTCTTTGTATTAAGAATTGAAAGAAAATCTGAAATAATCTGGGCAACGCGAGAAATCTTCCCGACACGAGCTGCCATGTTCTCTTCATACCACGTCTCGACGTTAGACACAGCGGATTTCAACTCTGTCCCAACCGTTTTTATCTTCGTCGCGACAGGTCCGATGAACGATCCTAGTTCTGTAAGTGCTTCACGAGCATTTTCTTGAACTTTGTCTATTACGTCAGCGGAGAAATTTGCAGCTTTGGTGCATGCACCATTGACTTTTGAGGCTGTCCCGTTGGCAAAGTCCACTATATCATCCGCAAGATTTTGAATATCTTTCAGTTTGCCGGTGAGCTCTTGCAGCGAGTCCGAGACGAATCCTTTAGCAGCCACGGTAAAGTTACGCTGAATTTCGTCTATTAAAGAATCTACGAGGATGGTAAAGTTTAGCAGTTCTGTAAGTGCATTTTGGGTAGTATTCTGTACGAGCTGAAGTACCCGAATTCCTTCCTGCTCAACGTTTTCTCCAAACTCTTTAAATTCCTTGGTTGAGTTCAAAGCCACTTTATACACTCCACAGATACGCTGTACGTTTTTCTCCGCGAACTGCTCCATTGCCGGCCCGAGCTCCTGAAAGAAATCTGTGATATCACCTATTGCTGAGACATTCCCATATTGAACGTCGAGTACTTTAATAATACTCTCTAGAAATTCTTGTAGAACTTCACTCGGATTTGTAGAATTCGAGTTGGAGTTTCCGCCCAACAGCCCTTGGAAAAGTTCTTCGAGATCAAACTTCTTGCCAGGTAATATTTGTTCAAAAAACTTTTGGAGATCAAAACCCGGGAGTTTGAACTGCACTAAAAAGTCTCCAAGTTTCTCTAAAATTGCGATAAAATTTTGGAAGCCTGGTGATTTCAGATTGAGGTTGAACTTTAAGCTGATCCGCCAATCAAAACGCAGACCAAAGTTAAAACCACTACCCCTAAATGGAGGAAATCGTTGGTTCATGTCTGGTAACTGTAACCTGGGGAATCTAATGCTTTGAAGAAAATCAAGCGAGGAAGACATATCCAGGAAACGATTGGCAAACCGTAGAAGATTTAAGGAAACTTGCTGAAATGTTTCCAGAGAAAACGAGAGGCGGATGGAAAACTTGAACGGAAGCTGTAAACGAAAACCATCAGGAACAGATAAACCTATGGAATTGAAATATTCTTTGATTTTGTCAAAATGGAGGTCGACAGAGACCGAGCGAAGAATGTCCAGAAGTGTCTTGATATTGAAATTTCTGGGAAGATCATGGGGCAAATAGTTGGTTATGTTACCTACAATGCCAAGTATATTGTCCAGAGCTGCAATAACGTTTTGAAAAACGTCATCTACGACAGTCAGCCTTCCGAGACTTAGCTGTATTTTCTTTATCATTTTTGTGAGCCACTTCCAGTCCTTGAGGCGGCTTAGAACATCTTTGGTAAATGTTATGATTTTTCCGATAAGATTAATCGGTCGTAGAGGTTGCACTAGATTCTGCACAAATTGAACGAACTTGTTGACGAACTCTATAAATTTGTCGATATACAACGGTAAATAGCCGGCAAGTTTGCTGATGAATTGGTTTATCTGTTCAGCAATCACACTTGTAATACTATCAAACTGCTTGAGGAGATCGTCTCCTGCGTCAGCCACGGCATGGATGAGGTCTTTCGGGAAATCATTCTTAAAACTGACAGAAGCCTTAAAAGCAGCTTTACCTCGGACGACTTCAAATCCAAACTTGAGAATGTAAGCATGAACATGCGCATAGTTGTCAAGATTAACCTCAAAGTTCCCGCCAAAAATGCCAATTCTCAGCTTCACCTGATTAATGAACCGGATGATTGTTTCGGCACCCAACCACTTACCACCATAGGTCTTCAACCATCGCTTCGATCGGCCAAGAGCAAACTCTCTTGGACGGAGGAATGGAAAGAGAGCACGTTTTTGGCGATGAATCGCACGTCGTCTTCTCCTTAAGTAGAGGGCCTTAGGGTGATCACCGTGATTTTCAATAAGCTGAATAATCATGGAGTCCAGAGTCTCGCTTTCTGGAGCGTGCCATAATGCATGCTCTAGGCCTTTTACTACTGAATCGCTTAAATTTTGATGACGCTCGACAAAGATATTAACAACGGCAGCTTTAACATCGGAATGTTCATCTGTGTATAGTGCATGCAGCAAGTGTTGATTCGTGTGCTCGGGAGGAAGCTTGCGCAATGCTGAGATCGCTGCCGATCGTATACCAGAGTTATCGTGGTCAATGTGTTTTAGGATTACTGGAAGTCCCGAAAAATGTCCAAGATTTCCAAAGGCCCAGATGTGGTCTCTTAGCTGTATTTCGTGGTCCGAGCTGTCGGGATGATACAGTGTTGATCTGTTTTTGTACCTGTTGTGAATCATCTCAACTACGCTTTCACATAAGGTATCATTGTATCCCGATCTCTTTGCTCTTTCAGCTAGTCCGGCTAGAACTAGCATCGCTGTAGATGTAACTTCATCTCCTTTTTCTTCTTGTGATGCTAGGTTCAACAAGGCAGCAAAGAGTTGTGAGTGAAGTGGACCTTCTGGTAAGTAGAAAATTCCGATCAGAAGTGTCTCGTATTCTTCTTTGCTAAGAGGTCGAGGGTAATCTGTCTTGACTGCTTGCGCTAAAGTGTTTTGGGCCTGGTAATTTCCATGACCGGCAAGTGCTGCTATATATACAGCCCAAGAGGTGATGTTCTGGTGACTTCGGTCCCGCACAAGTCGATTGATCATTCGAAAAGAGTCTTCATCTTCGCGAACCATACGATGCATCTCATTAGAGCAATCAGCAATTTGACGCTCCTTCATGCTTTTGTCGGTGAAGCAGCGCAGCACTTCATAGAAAGGCCTCGGCTTTTTCTTCTCTCCTCCGATCTTGGACCAGTTTATCCTCTCAGTATCAGTAAACAAAAGATTGTCTCTGTTGAGAGTACGAGCTATCTTCACATGCTGTTCCTCAGTTGTCGAGCGCTTGGAACGATGGTGTTCAGGTGTTAGACAAGATCTTAACGTCAGTTTACTGTATCCCTTTGTTGACATTTCAATGTCTTGCTCTTGGCCTTTAAATCCTTCGAAATTGTCTGCCCTTGGATGCCCATTGGCGGGTCTAAAAAATGCCTTATTAGTACGGTGAACTCTTTCTACCTTTCCGTCTTTCACATGGATGTACGAACTGTGTTGAGACTGCACCTTGTGTTCTGCCTTCGCCGGAGTACCATCCGCAAACGTTTGGTAATCTTGGTTCGTCCAGGTGCGATGCAGATGAGCGTGTGTCTCGTTTGCTGACATAACATTGTACTTTGTTCGAAAGAAACCAGAATCATCGTGTTCTTGTACTTCATAGATGTTGGATCTGTGCGCATCTTTAAGGTTAAGCTGAAATGCACCTGCAATACCTGTTGTCAAATAATGAGTAATGGGAGCAAAATCGTACGTTGTTTAACAGAATGACCCTCCCCCTCCCCACGATCCCTTCTATTGGAGAGAACTCATGTGCAGCATAAGCCTGAGTTGACTGAAACGAAACCCTAATTTTCCGGTGCATGACACCAATCTGCCAATTTAGTAGAAAGCCTCAAAACATCAAAATATACGTATTTCAAACAGCCTGTGCACTTTGCGTGAAAGTTGTTCTTGTTGTTTCCTTTTAGTTTCACTACAAGTAAAAGAAAGAAACTAGGCAATTTCAGCCTTATCTTTGACGTTTAGTTCAGCCAAAACCATTCATTTACAAAATGAGTATGGTTTATATTGGAAAGGGCTGTCAAAATTATACAACGAAGACCTTAAACATGAGATATTCTGTAGTTTCTCCGCTCCTCAGTTGAACGGCACTTAAATCGTTATTACATTTAAGTACGTACTAAGTAAATCGAAAATTATATCTGGACGTCCAAACTGTTGAGGTGCTGATGCTGTGGATGAATGTGGGGATAAATTTTGTCTTTCTTCCCCTTACCTTTCTTGAAGGCCGCAATTTCGGGGGACTCGGACCTCTTTGGAAAAAGAACGTCAGTAATGGTACCATGATCTTCCTGCTGGAAGTAAAATGGTTTTGACAGCTGCTCTTCAAACTCTTCATTGACAGGGTGATTGGCAAGAACACGCCCATGATGTAGGCGCCTTAAGCGCGGTTCCCGCACGTCAAGCTTAATGAGATGCGAGTGTTCCCTCCCATTAAAGTCACGAGATGCTGGTGTTAAGTCGACCTGAAATAAACGTAGGCAATAATTATCAACGAAATTAGGCTTTCCTTCAAAATAAAGTAAAATAACAAATGAAATTCCTGTTGGAATAATAACTTTCGTTGCTCTCCTAAACATAGCCATTATCAATACTTTGTGTTTTATTCTGTAGACAATATTTTTAAATATAGTATGATAAGCAGAGCCAAAGAGTATGATTCCATCAATCCATCAATACCCTGGGCCGGGAAGCCCAGAAAATGTTGCTTAAGCAGACAATGTTGTTAAAAAAGAGAGAATCAATTAGTTATTGCAGTTGTTAAACCCGTTGTGATCTAGACACTGGGAATCTATGCGCAAACTTGCTGAATTGCTGGTTTGTTTTTTTTCAGGAAGTAATAGTAACTCAGGATCAGTGATCAATATTTTTAAGTACATGCGTCAAGCAAAGGCACAGTAGTGCCCTCTTCGTGCAATCTTCACTTCAAATTTCTCCCTTGAAAAAATGTCTTTGTCCAACAAAAGAGTAATATTTGCATAGAGACACGAGGACGTTTCAAGCCCCATTTTGTCATATATATATATATATATATTTTCACTCGCACCTTCACTCGAAAGGAAAACCTGTTGTAGAAAAACTAGTTAGGAAAAATCTACAAATGTAAAGTTAATCCCAAGACGATCTGGGAAGACTTATACTCCTTGCGAATTCGGGTCCTTTATTGCATGCATAGTGGCGAAAATAGCACAGACGGCATGCGGAAATGTTGCGCGAGGTACATGTAATTGCGTGCCTTTGCGTGTAAGTTGATTCAAGAGTAATCTTTTGATAGCATACGTCGCAAACCAACATTTTGAAAAGGTGCGTGGGGAGAATTGAAACTATCGAAGATCGAACAATAAAATCCAATTCATGACCTTATATGGTCAAACAAACAATTGACCACAGTTCTCACATCATTGTGCCAGGGAATTCTTAAAATAAGACCAATGGCTCTTGAATTCGAACTTTCAACAGGATGCGATATTAAGCACGCTTTTGAGTGGAATCCATTATTAAGTGATGGAGTAGTTACTGTTGCCACAACAAAACATTTCTGTAGTCTTAATGGACCAACTACACTGTCTCTAAAAAATAGTTTTAGCTACAATGGCGCAAACTTCTAGAACAGCCTGCCTTGTAGCCTTAGAGAGACAGAATTGTGGACTCAATTTAAGCGCTTTCTCCATTCAAGAATTAGATACGCAGCATTCATGAAAAAAAAAAGCCTTTGCTTTGTGAATAGCTGGTAAGGTATACACTGTAGCAAGTAATTTGTAGAGTAAAGATTAGTTTTATAGCATGGATATAAATTCATTTATTGCACTCTATAGCCTGATGAATTTTAATCAGCGTGTGTAAAGAAAGAGGAAAGATTAAAGATGGTTGAAACGACTCAGCTGGAATTAAAATGACTATGATCAATTTCAACCATTAGCGAGAATAGCATGACGGTATTTGAAAAGAATATCAAGTCCTTGGAAGTATCAGCCTCGTTCCACTTGCTATATTGCACGCGTTGCGTTTAACACGTACTAATACATGTTAAATAAAAATACATTTGCTTGTAGCCGTTTCATGAAAATATCTTTGAATCACATGCTAGAGCGCGTAATCGCAAACAGCAAGCTAAAAACAAAAAATGTTAACCGACCAAAGCGCAAAGCCGAACACCATTTCCTTGCAAACGCGAAGTCTACACATGTGAAAAAAAAACCACGACTCTAGAGTGGGATAATGTCGTTTTATGATCAGTCAATTCAATGTTATTCTCTCTGCTACAGAGCGACTTTTTCAGCAGTTTTCTGCCGTCGTAGGAAACGCAGATTAAGCTGTTCCCTCTTCCCATTCCTATTTTATCTAATTAGTCTCCTCTACAATATACTTTATATACAAAGCGATGTGACAAGCTTTGCTTTCTCCGAGGAAAGCGTAAATCATTGCATATTTTGTAACGCTGGTCGCACATGCAAGGAAACAGAGAAATATAACTGTGATACAGAAAGCTCTGTTAATCAACCTGAACTGATCGAAGTGAGCCTTACCAGAGCGTAAACTTGGTAACCATCGCTGTGGGTAGACTTGTCCCCTCGGGCAGTGTAAACTGTCACTTCGTAATCGTAGATACATTTTGTGAGGTGCTGGAGTCGCAGCGATTTCTGCGTGGCGCTTTTCCCTTGCAACCCGTCTATATGTAAAATTACTAGCAACGCAAACAGGTATTTTCTGAGCATCGTAGAAATTGCGATACACACTTCTTCATCTATCTTATTTCATTGAGACATAGTCCGTAAAATTTCGCTATTTTTCACCCTTGGTGAGCAAATTATAATGCAGCCACGAATCTTTATCGCCCCGAGGTCTTTACCGACTTCCTTAGAAACCTTAACAAGTAAGTAAGTCAACAACGATTAATCCCGGAATTAAAACCGTGGTTATATTACACGAGTATAGGCTTAAAGTCAATGCCGGTAAATAAAATATTGTGTTTCAATACGGTGACGACTTCCGTTACATGGCAGTTTAAGCGCATATTGTTAACATGCAATTCGTGGATATATTTATCAAAGAAAAAAACCCTCTCCTAGAAAATGTACCCGCAGTCAATACTAGCTCAGAATTAAAGAATGATCTTTAACAATTAACCGCGGCTCCTTGCGAAGGGAAAAGTTAATCCCACTTCTCTATTGAGGCAGAGACTAAACTAAGAATCTTAGAAATGACTAGGTTACTTCTAGTAATATGGCTTTGTTGCGTTTTGACTGAAACGGAAGCTTGGAGAAGACGGCGGCGGAGAAGGGTTCCTCCTTGCAGCCCAGTAAACTGTCAGGTTGGAAGCTGGACAAGTTGGAGTTCATGTTCCCATCATTGCGGAACGGGCGGATCACAAGCACGAACACGTTCAGTGACTACAGGCGCGTCCTGTGGAGGAACATGTCCATACCATCTGCAAGAAACTCAAGCCTGTAATAGAGGCAATTGCCGGAACGGAGGCACTCCGACCAACGGCAGATGCAGTTGCAGAGCGGGATACGGAGGGACATGCTGTGAACGAGGTGAGTCCAATCATACAGGTATCTGGATTTTTTAGGTCATACTGGATATGTCGCAAGTGTGGTGTGAAGAAGATTGGATCACTGAAAATATACAGTTCTTGACAAATCTCTGATAGCCAAACTAAGTTGACGCGATCTGTTGCAAATATTGGTTACATTTTGTGAGCCTGTACACAATGTAGGTGGTCTGAATTTATTGTTTAAAAAAGGTGGCCAGATGTTAAGGAGATAGTTTTAAAAGAAAAAGGACTTGATTGTTAATGATAGGGAGTATTTGGATTTTTTTACACCGTCTCGCGTTTGTTCTGAGATTCTTGTGGTGTGAAAGAAAGGCTGTTTATACGACCGTAAAAATATGTTTTGAAATTCAAATGCTTGATATTTGGTCAAGTACCCCTAGAGATCAAGTGGATCATTGAATGTGCATTTCTTTTTGATAGAAAAATGATTAACTGAGCTACGCAGAAGTTGCTTTGCGGACATACACGAACTCCATAGAGTGGGCGTGGAGTAGCAACGCTTGCATTATTCCCAAAATTGTCCTATGCCTGAGAAAGCTGATAGAAAATTCAAACAAAGTTAAAAAGGGTTTTAAGAGGAGAGATTAAAAGGGATTTAGAAAGATGAACACAAAGCGATATAGCGCTGAACCTTATAGCCAAACTGATATCTTGCCTCTGCAGATCCACTTAAGATAAATGCCAGAAACACACACCACAAAACCTTCAAATCTCGGAAGGAAACTTTCATAAAACTTCAACCATCAAAAATTCAATTCACTAAAAACAACTTCAAAAGTAACACTTTGTGTGGCTAACTACACGGCAAGAGATGGAAATTGAAAAAACGCTAAAAGATACACTCTTTAAACGAAACGAGGATTGGAAAGAAAACAAAGTTTGTGGAATCCTGTCTGTTGATGTTTGCTTAAATTGCGATTACCTATCAGTAGCGATGCATTGTTAATCGCGCAACAGAGTTTGTAAATGCTGAATTACAAATTAAAACAATCCGCCCTGAAAAGGGATCTGTCCTACGCCGCCTCCTTCTATAGTTTCGTATGGAGGTGCAATAAAGGTTACCAAAATAACAGGAACTAAAATAGTTTGAGATTAAGGATCGTGAGATTTTTACCTTAAACTTCTGTAATTATTAGCCCTTAACACCAACTTTCTTAATGCTGTGCCCATCGAACATAGGGAACATTTCATTCAACAGGCGGCACGGATGATCGCTAATTAGAATAAATCTAGCAGAGGATAAATGTCACAACAAAGCAGAAAAATTAATTACAGAAGGTCTCTGGCTTTTAATTGTGTTTTCGTTGGCTTGTTTTTGATGAAATTAAAAACAGAAGGCAATCGCTTACATAAATAAATTGTTATCTTTAAAGAGAGACTGGTCTCAACATGTCGAACGTTCCCTAAAAAGACCCTTCTTACAAATCATTCACAGTTTCGTACCTGTCATTCCGTGAAAAATAGAATTTGCGTATACAAATTGAAGATAAATATTTTGAGCGGAAGTCGTTTCCTTCCCGATTGGCGGAGGAAGTACTTCATTTCAAGAAGTACATCCGTGTTTTCCAGACTTTGAAAGTTCTTGAGTTTGGTTTAACGAGAATACCAAGCATACAAAATAGGTTTTTGATCGAAATACAACATGAAAAGCAGTATCTTAACAATCTGTTTCTTGGTTTTGATCACTGGATCGAATTCGATTTTCTGGTCGAGAAGGAGACGAAGGAGGTCGCCTCCTCCGTGTAGCGCTAGAAACTGTCAGGTTGGAAGCTGGACCAGTTGGGGTTCTTGCTCGCATCAATGTGGAACGAGTGGCTCGCAGAGTCGCACACGACAACAGTTGCAGGCCGCGCAGTGCGGTGGAACTTGCCCGTATCAACTGCAGGAGACGCGAGCTTGCAACAGGGGTAATTGCCAAAACGGCGGCACACCAAATAATGGTGGATGTAGTTGCAGACTGGGATACGGAGGAATCTGTTGCCAACAAGGTGAGGTTACTGAACGAATAACGGTTGTCGTAATTCAGACAGACAGCATAGACATGGGCGAAACTACGCAGTGAATCTACCGCATGTTTTCATCGAGAAAAATTCAGCCAAAGGGTTTTTCAGTTCGTTAATTGCAATCCGAATGATCCCGTTTAGAATTCTCCATCGTCGAAAAGGATATAACCAGAACGTGCTTTCTACCGGAATGTTCCCGGTTCAGTCTAATCAACAGATCAAAATTTGATTTGTAATATGCACTATTTTAAAACTAATTTTGTTGTCAATATTGAAAATTTACTATTTTTATGAGTATGTTAGCGTTGTCATGTTTCACTGAATCAATTATTCCATGTGTTGGATCGAGGCACAGCTTGCTCTCCTATTAAAAGCTCAAAATGAAAAATTCTTCATATCTAGTATTTGAGAGCGACTCCCACTATAAATTGTATATATTTATCATTTTGTTGTTAATGTTCATGTTGTGATGGTGCATCGGTCTATTTGGTGCATCAGTCCATTGGATTTTAGCACAGCGATGGAAAATAATGAAAGAGCGGGGCGTGCGCCTTTTCGTTATTCGCCTGAGCTACTTTGAGAAAAACTTGAAGCAACACCGGATAGTTTATCCTTACTGCTAGGAAGTTAGCAACGCGCCGGAGAAGGTAAAATTGATGTTTTCTTTCTGGAGTTAGTTACACACAGCACTGTCCTACTTTTTGAAGTTAAAAAGAATACGAACTACATTTAATTGTGTGATCTGGAAAACCACAGAAAGATTACATGAATTTGTGCCAAATGACGAATGGAACACAATTATTAATTCCAAGCCGTACGGGGATATTGTACCAACTGCGATCCGAAATTTCGAGCTTTGGGTGTGTGTATTGGTATTTCAGACGTTCTCAGCTCGTTGCAGCGCATAGCTGTCTGTTCTTTTCCTATTGATCGCAAATATATAAATAAACTATTTACGAACAGGACAATCTGACTCCGGGATCAGCCAAAGAAGTCGTTATCACGGCTCAACCAATGTAAAATCTCACATCAAACAATTTTTTCCGACTATTTTTATACTACCGATATTGAAGCGAAATCTCCACCATGGTATATCGGTTTGAGTAAAGAGAAACATTTTTTTCGCAACAGGAAGTTAAGTCATCATCCCCTTTCATTGGCCCACGTAAGAAATCATTCAGATGCCCCCACGAACAACGCCGCTCACGAAAAACAAGAATGTGTAATCCATCCAGATTACACTCAAGATAGTGCGCTAGTTTTTTCTTCATTTACTAAAACAAGTAAACCTTATTTATCTCATAAACGGCGGTCAAACATCTATGAAGGCAAAAGAAGTTTTGTAATTCGCTGGACGTAAGAGTTCGTAAGCAAGGGAATATTATTGGTGTATAAATCAGTAGGTGCAAATATAAGCAGACAAGGGACGACTAACTCTAACAAAACTAAAGCACACGAGATCATTGTAGGCTTTTAAGACCAGAATGAAGATTGGTTCCCTTTCCAATTACATACATGTGTATTCCCAAATATGCTCCAACCTTCCAAACTGATTTGCTTTCAAAGTGAAAATGAAACAGAGCTTTTAAGATTATTTCCTAGCTGGTAGGTGATGCTATTCGAAAATGGGACAACAAGGGAACTTTCGAAGAAATCGTAATTTCTCCTTACTGAATCGATACTTTTTTTTCCTGATGGTGGATATAGAGAGCAGACAAACATCAAAACCTTGCACACAATTTTCTAAGTACTACTCATTTTTTCCTAAGAAAGGGAGTAAATACGAACATACTCTCGAAGAAACGTGACCTACCGTAGTTTCTCTGTTATAAGGCGCACGGTTTTATCAAGAAAATTCTGTCTTCGGGTGGAAAGTTAGTGCTGAAATCAGTTGCGTCTTATATCCAAGTTTTTTTGCGCAGCTAAATCTTTAGATCACAATTTTAGCAGAACTTATAGTTAAAGAAAAGAAAAGGACACTTATTGTTGGTAACTGACTTAATTAGTGGTGGTTCTGAAAAGAATAGGGGCGGCTCTGAAAAGAGCCGTTGTGCTGTTTCTGAAACGGAACCGTTTCTTATACGACCTCTGTCAAATGACCACGAAACACAAGCAGAGCTTTTTAGTCTGAGGTGTAGCAAAGATTGCGTAAATATCCAATCCTTTACTCCTATGAATTAAAAAGGAATACTACTTTTAGAATACTAATCAACTTGCATAGAAAAAGCAAACAAACCGGCGTAAATTTTCATACGTTCTTAACAACACGTGCTCGGTAACATGATATCCGCGACAACAAAATAATCATTCAACCTTGTTTCAAATTCCTTGAATCGTGTCTGTGTCG